CGCGCGCGGGGAGGCGGGAGCGTGAGGGGGAGCGAGGGGGTGATGGGGTGCGAGGGAAGTGGGAATGTGTGAGGGGGAGTGTGAAGGAACCACGGGTGCGATGGGGGGTGAGGGGGGCAGGGGTGTGTGAGGGGGTTGTGATGGGGTGCGAGGGAGGCGGATGTGTGACGGTGCGAAGGAGCCAGGGGTGCGAGAAGGATGAGAGGGATGTGTGTGTGTGTGTGTGTGTGTGTGTGTGTGTGTGTGTGTGCACATAGTGCAGGCGGGGTGTAGAGGTGTGTGGGGGGTGAGTAGGGCAAGGAGGGATGTGTGTGTGTGTGCGTGTGTGCACATGGTGCAGGTTGGGTGTAGGGGAGGTGTGTGGGGTGAGTACAGGAGGGGAGCGTGTGTGTATTGAGGTGCTTGCAAGCATGCAAGGTGTGGGGTGCGCAGGGGAGATGTGGGGCAAACTCGTGCATGTCTCTGCTGCCAGGCACTGGGGCAGGCCAAGCCCGGGCAGTGCAGCGCAGTCCCGCCGCGTGAGGCCCCCTCCACGTTGCCCAAGGAGCGCGCTGCGCGTTCCCAGGGGGACAACTCCATCATTCCTAACCCAAAAAGCAGGAGCACGTGACAGCCGGCCCCGCCTGGCTCCCTGTGGCTGCCCCAGCACTGCCCGTCACCCTCGCCGGGAGGCAGGAGCTCCCGCTCGGTGCCGGGTGCCCACTCGCTCCCAGGAGCTGCCACAGCCCTGCTTTAGCAAACCGTCCAGCAGCTGCCACAAGAGGAGCCGATAAAGTCGCACGCGGCAGTCGCTGGGTGAACTTGTCTTTGCCTTTAGTAAGATGGGACTGGAGGCACAGTACGGCTTGATTCATTCCAGGTAAACCCAAATGCTAGTGACTGCTTGCTGTCCAACGGTGCGTTCCTGCTTCGTGCTTTGCACCCTGCAATGTGGTTGCAGCGATCCATGTGGCTGAACCTGGGGGAAAAGCGGTGGGAAAACTAGTGTAACTTGTGCCACCAAAGCCTTGCTTGGGGGTTAAAACTTCATACTGGACTGGTAGCCAGAATTTAGGGACGTGTCTGCATTATGTACTGTGTTGTGGTATCTGTGGGTTAATCACAAAGCAATGAACTTGCAGCCCCCACGTTCGCTTGAGGGGCTTTTCTGTAGGGTTTGGACTATAGTCTTCCCGCTATAAGCGTGCTCTCCTTAGATTGCTATGCATGATTATGCTTCTTCCTCTAAAAGGGCCTGAAAGAGTCCTCAGCAAACCACCGGGGAAGGGAATCAGATGAACATGCAACACACAACAGTTACTAAAAATTAGAATAACTCTAAATATCTTCTCTTAGTATTGATGACTGAATTAAGCTACTTTTTTGATGGGAGACAATGATTTCCTGACATCTAGGGATTGTTAGGGATAAGTTCACAGCCTTTGAGCATTTGCTGGCAACCTCAGAGTGTTCTCAGCTGCATTCAGTAGAGGACATTAACTCAAATCTCTGGACCTCAGTCCAGGGAAGTAGCATTCTAGCTCTTACTCCAAGGAGGAAGGAAAAATAAAGAACAATATGGAAAAGCAATTTAGATCACATACAAACTGTAAGTGTTCCACAACAGCGTATATAACAAAGCTGTAGGGAAACACTGCCAAGCTCTGATACAAAATAACGAGCCTCTTCCCACCTCACGGAGCTTGGCAAACTTAACGCTGCCTGCGGAAAACAAGCAAGCAAACAAAAACCTTGCAAATCAGGCTAACAGGAAAATAATGCTGCAATTTGTTCTTTTTGGCAAAAATCAGCTTTGATGAAGGCCCCATCTCCTTTCCAAGCTAGCTATCCGACTGTTGCAGTGCCTGAGAAGCAATGTTTGCTCGGCGAGGGAGCAGCTGCCACCTGCACACTGTATATCTTTTCTTGCCTGGAAACAAGCTTTACAGCATGTTGATGCAAGCAATGCTTCATAGTAATAGTAAACATTTAGTATGTTTGTCATGTATTACTTGTACTTACAAGACACCTATCATTTTAGTTGTGACAGCTAAGATGTTATCAGGGATTTCAGTGGAGCTAGGGTGACTTTAAGGTGAAGATAGGGCAAAGAGATTAATCCTATGGTGTATGCCTATTAAATCATTAAAACATTTCTTATTTGTGAGAAGGTTGCCACTATTGCAAAAATAGTTGCATACCCATCAGTCTTGTGGTATGCAGACTGCCAGATCACTAATGAGTACCCTTAGTTTTCTTCCAGAGAAGCAGCATAGCAGGGTTTTCAGCACAGAAAAGTCTGCACTACAACTCATGATACTGCCTGTGAGGCAGTTCTGCAGGGAAAAGTCTTATGTGATCAGTTAAGGCTGCCAGCGTTAATCCTAGAACTTCCGTACTTCATGGAAAACTTCCAACTTGCACCTCCTTTAGCACACCTTTTGCAGATCTTTCTTAGATGGAAAATATACATACAGCCTCATAGGAACTGTGCATTGGGAGGCATTGACTACTCTTAATGGCGAGTCCTCTTTTGGTGCATCAGAGACCTAGCCCTTTCCACCACTGTCCATTTTCAAGGGAATCCTGGAATCCTGGAAGGAAGGAAAAGGAGTTTTTTCCTTCCTTTTTGTCTATCAGTCAGTTGCTTCCAGAACTGGAGACCAGGACCTAGTCCTCCCACAGAAGCTAGTCCTACCTCTTCTCCTGGGGATGTAGCTGTGACTCAAAATACACCTTTCCCTTGGGAGCTTGTGCCTTTGGTGGTGTTTGGACTAGAAGTTAAAGCTCCAGGAGTGAGATACAGTTTAAATCAGGTGCTTGCAAAGAGTTTCCAAGGTTGTTATTCAGGAGCAGGTATGGCTCTCATGCTGAAGAAAGAGAGGAAGAAAATCTCACTAATTGTATAAGAGGACAATCCTAACAAAGAAGACAGGGAAAGGCAAGTGAGGTAAGGCTGTAGTGCGCACACACACCACTCGTGTTCCTGCCTCCCAGCAGCTTGTCTGGGGCTTTGGGAGAGCATAAGAACTGCAATTAGAGGTGTGTAGAACAAAATAACAGAGAAGGTGAACGAAGAAGAAACCTGAAGACATTCTTGTATTTTGTCCTCAGTAAAGCTGCACCCAGTAAGCTAAAATTACCAGTATAAACCTTTAAAAAAAACCCTAATGCAACAATCTTTGCACTCACTCTTGGAACCACTTACGCCAGAGAAGCTTCCCCTCTGCTTCTGTGGCTGGTTAAAAGAGGTATCACTTTTAGGCATAATCTATGAGGTTTTCTTTACTTGATAGCCATCGTATAAAAGGTTTGAATTCCTTATTTGACTCTTAATAGTTTATAGCAATTCCAGATTCATCCCGAGAAAGCAGAAACTACTTGAGTTGTTACTCTCTTGCCTTTCCCCAGTTACTTCCTCAGCTTATGCATACCTAGTTAAAAAGAGCTCCCTAAAAATTAGAGCACCTAGTTATTTCCATAAATCACTGAAAATTTAGTACATACCAACTTATGTACTAAAGACATAGGATAACTCAAGACAACTCAACAAAACAGCAGTTTTAGAAATTAGGACTCTAATTTCTTTAAGAAAATAGTCAAATAGTCATATGTGCAGTGCTCTACAGTCCATCTGTGACTGTACAGAATCGTTGTGGTGCTAGTTACTTAAGATATAAAAGAAAACACTCTAGGAATTTCCTGCAGTCAGAGCTCTTTCAAGATGCTGATTACAACTGATTGGTGAAAGAGAAGATGCCAAACACCAATTCATTAAGTAAAACAAAACAAAACAAAAAAACCTCAACTGTTCACTTCAGAAGAACAGAAGCACCATGGAGGAAAAAGATGCATGGTGTTTCTGAAAGCTATTAAACAAATGAGTGAGCTTTTTGGTATTATTGGTATTTGGTAAATACAAACGCTATGTATGTTGTTAATAATTCAAGTAAAAACTACAGCCGATCGTTAGACTGTCCTCTGTTGACAGTGGTAGACCTTCCCTTTCCCGCCTACATTGAGCTGGGTATCTGGTCCTGCCCCAGGATCGTGCCCTGCAGCCGGTAGTGCTCACAGCAGCACTCCTTCTGTAAAATTAATTCAGTGGAGGAAAAAGAAAGCAATGTTAAATCTCTTTCAAAAGCACAACATACAGTAACCTGAACATTAAGTCCATCCATTTTAGGCACTATATCAGCCTATCTTTTGCTTCAGAAGGCACTCTGGAACCTTCCCAAGGTTCCTTCCGTATATTAAAACTGTGCAGGTTTCTTGGTGTTTGTTTCCTTCCCCTCCCCGCTC